CGAGACTCCCAGGAGTTCCAACCGAGTTCCCTGCCGTCGGGAACGAGGATGGAAAGTTATGTTGCCCCCATCGTACTTAAGGACCACATCCCAGCAATAATTTCGAGCACCCAGAGGAGTGTCGAAAAATTGTCGAACGAGTATCGCCTCCCAGGGCCCTGCACGTGAAAACCCTCTGGTATCGGTACTCTCTTGGTGCTCGAAACTCTTTCTGCTGATCAAGGCTAAAAGCAGGTTGGAACATCATAAGTGGAGAGGGCGATCAAATAATCTCAATGACAGCGCCCACCAGCAGGCATTGCAGCCGACGTGTGGGCAATTCATCGCCCAGGGCGCTGCTGCTTGACTCGGCCCCCTCTCTCGGGCAGTCTTTCAAAAATCGCCCCCCTGCATCCCGGCAGGCTCAAGCAAGTCAGCGGCGAGCAAGGATGGGAAGCGATAAGGAGAAGGCCTTCTCAGAAGGCGGCGGGGACTTCTGAGAAGCCCTCGGGGGAGGCTCAGGAAACTTGAAGGGGCCCTGGGACATACAGATAAATACATACAAATAACAGGATTCCCCGTATTTTTACATATTTTCTGGGTTGTTTGTCTCCCCCCCCCCATTTCCAATATTTTCCAATGTTTTCTAGGGAATCGACGATTAATTGTGTCTGTGTTTTTTTCCCCTCCTGACAACTTCTCCCTGAAGGCTGGGGGCCTGCCATCCGTCCTGGCATTCCTGCAGGCCCTCTGGCCGAAGCCCTGCACGCTGCCACGCCGGTCCCGGGCAGGCTGCGCCTTCTGAGAAGGCCTTCTCCTTCTCGCTTCCCCCCCCTCGCTCGCCGCCGAATTCAGATGGCGTCAGCGTCGGCTGCGGGGATGGACAGACCCCCCTTTAGTAAACCGTGGTTTAGTGACAACGACCCGAGGCCCAAACCTGGCGGGCGCAAGCCTGGAAAATAACGGCCACGGCGCCATCTCCGGAACCGAAGACGGACAATTCGCTAATCGACGTGTCACTGTTGGGGGGTTCTGTCCACCCCCGACGGTTCCTGACACTGCGTGGATCGTGCATCCCTGAGCGGTCGCGACCTTCCGGCAGCGCAGGTCGGTCGACGGTCGATGTCGGCGGAGTCTGGGCCGCTGGTGGGACCAAGCCGCAGCGGATCAGGACATCGGATCGAACCGGAGCGTGAGTCGGATCGGGCCGAAATCGAACCGGCTTGGCACGGAGTCTACAGAAGTGGCGTTGACCTAAGGAACACTACATAAGGAACGAGGCCCCTTCTTCCCATCAGATAAACTTCGATTTCCCATCGGAACCCTAAGCAAAACCAAAGGCGAACTGCAAAACAACTAAGGAACACCGAGCCCTCCCCAACGAAAAGGGTTCCTTCCTCAGCGCCCCGACTGTACATGTCGAATCGGATCGGCCGCGCCGAGATCCACAGCAGCGCCAAGGGTGAGAGTCGGGCCGCCTCGGATCGTCGGAACACTCGCCATCGCTCGGACGTCTATTCCCTGTGTTTTTTTTCGGTTTCGTGCGTGGTTTTTTCGCCAAATGATCAAGGATGCTCCTCGATGGTCCTCGCCGAAGGAAAAATGCACACGTCCGAGCGATGCCAAGGCAACGATAGGGGGGACTGGCATATAGGGGGGGAAACGTCGACCTGGCATCGACGATGCATCGCCGACGGATCGGCGACAGGCCCCCGACAGCAAACCCGCACGCTCCTGGGCAGGTTGGGGCCATCGGGCCCCTATCGGCGATCCATGGGCGATTGGAGGTCGATGCGTCGCCCCCCCAATGCCTATGCCTATCCCCCCATATCTGAAGGGGCCCTGGGACACACCAATAAATACACACACAAATAGCAGGATTCCCCGTATCTTCATGTATGTTCTGGGTTTCTGTCTTCCCCCCCCACTTCCCAGATGTTCCTGCATTTTCCTGGGAGTCGACGATGAATTGTGTCTGTGTTTTTTTTTTCTCCCCCTCCTGCCTTCTGCCTATGCCCATCCCCCCCCCACCGTTGCCCCCGACTCGAGCGCCCGCGCTCGGGCCGCCGCCGCGTCGACGCGGCGCGCGCCTGCCGCACGCACACCAGCGAACCGCTCCTGGCGGCCCGATGCCCCGAGCACCGGAGAGGGGCCCTGGGACACACAAATGAATAGACAAAAAAAACGGATTCCCCATACTCTCCCATAGTTTCTGGGTTTTTGTCTTCCCCGCCACTGCCCATGTTTTTGTTCCCATATTTTCTGGGGGATCGACGGTTAATTGTGTCTGTGTGTTTTTTCCCCTAGTGAACACCAGCGAATCGCTCCTGGCGGCTCGATGCCCCAGGCACAGCTCGACCACTGGGACTCCGACGACTCTCGTCCCTCTCGGCGCCTCCTTTGGGGGCCCTTCTTGCCATGGCTGGACGCAGCCAGGACTTCGCAGGACGAACACAGGAGGAGGGTGAAGTCGGACATCTCCGAGAAACGGCGGGCCTTGAAGATGTCTCGGGCCCTGTGGCCGTTCCAGCCCCTCAGAGCGCTGCAGCACGCCCGCCCCTGGGGCGACTCTTCCCCAGAGCTAAAACAAGGCTAGGATCGGGATAAATCGCTGCAGAGCGTTCTGGAGCGCTCTCAGAGCGTTCCGAAACGCTCTGGAGCGGCCGCGGCGCCCAATACATCCTCCAAACCCGCCGAGTCTCAGAGATTTCGAGTTATCCCGATCCGATTTTGTCCCGATCTTCGCGTCGTTTTAAGAGCTGGGCCGATCAGAAAGAGCACCCGGCCAAGACTGACCCCCGGGAGGGGTCCAGGAGGCCGGTTTCCGGGGGCGGATTCTGGCGTGAGGTGCGGCCGGGGAGCCGGCCTTCGATGGTTCCCCGACGTGGTGGCCCCGGGCCGTGGTTCACCCCAGGTCGTTGTTGTTGTTACAGCCTTGGGGGCGGAGCCGCACATACCAGGCGTCGCGCCTCGGACCTCTCCCCATGGGGTGCCTCCCGGCCAGAGCTTCGAGGCGAGCCTGGCCGAAGGCGGCCGAGAAGCACCCCCGCGCGAGGGAAGTCGGCCCTCGTGCCCCTGGACAGCGTCGCTGGAGGTTGGAGCCGTGAGCAGAGGTCTCCCATGTGGGGGCCGAGCGCATGGTGTCGGAGGATCACGCCGCATCGCCGATGCATTGCCGATACGTCGGCGACGTGGGCCATGCATCGGGACCGTCAGCGTGAAGGAGATCAGGCTCCACATCGAGCCTCACGGGCGATGCGGCGTCCTTCTCCGACCCCGTCTACTTCGACCCCGTTCGGGAGGCCGAAGGTCAGAGAAGCCTGAAACAGCACGCGTTGGAAACTCAATGAAAACGGAAGCGGCCAGGGCTGGAAAAGCTGGCAGGGGCTGGAACAAACCCGCAACGATTGGGACTTGGTCGCCAGGGCTGGAAAAACGTAGGGAAACCGCCCAGGGCTGAACAGAGCGGCAAGGCTGGCCCTGGCCGCTTTTTCCAACTGCCCTGCAAATCCTCGGGGGCAGCCCCTTGACCGCCAGACGTCTGGTTCTGCTCGTCAGGTTGCGTGGCACTGCACCCCCGGCAACACAATGACTGCCCATGTTGGGCATGACTCGACAACTCTGAAGGGGCCCAGGGACACACAAACAAGTACACACAAATCCCAGAACTCCCCATATGTTTCAGTTGTTTTCGTCTTCCCCCCGACTTCCATATTTTCACATCTTTCAGTGGGAATCGGCGACTAATCATGTCTGTGTTTTTCCCCTCCTAGAACTCTTTGTCGCTCGATCGAACCACGTCTGCATCGCAGAACGGGGGGGGCTGGGAAAGGGGCATGCAACTCATCGACAACAAACTTGCCCCGATCTCGAGGGCAAGCATTGCACAACAACCGAACCACTCGAAGGTCCGCGCTGACTTTGTGGGGTGGGTGCTGAACGCCCCTCCCTAGCGCGCGGAGCGCGCCAGGGTCGGCACCCAGATGCGACGCCAGGGAGCCCCAGAGCCGATCCCAGAAATCCGCGCGGACCTCAGAGAACCCGTGCTTGTGCTTCTCCTCGAGATTTGCGGCCGCCGCGATCGCCGCGGCGACCTACAGCAGGAGCTCGACCACGAGGCACCCACCCCTGGGACCCCAGGGCGTCCAGAAACTTGCACTGTGGGAGCGCCGCGCTCTCCACAACAAAGACATCGAAACCCAAAAAGACCAGGGCGCCCTAGAGGCAAGCAGGGTGCTTATTGGCATGGGCCCCCACTGCACAAACCCGATATTGGAGGCTTGGCTCGGGGCCGGATATCCATGATGCAACGACGTTTCGGCTCCCCAGCGGGCCTGCCCGCCCAGCCCGAGAAAAAGTCGCGCACGTCCAGCCCGCCGCCGCCCTCGCGGGAGGGGGGGGGCGATCATGCTGTGCGCACCAGCACCGACCACCCGATTGATCCTTGATGCAGCCCGGGCCGTGGGGTCGGGCCCAGACCTTTTGCTTCGCAGCCGGTGGGCCCAACCCAACCAAGACGTTGGCGGGAAACGCTGTGCAGATCGCTGCCGATCACTGCGCCAGACGTGTTACCGTGGATTTGTGGTGTGGATTTCTGTCGATGCAAAACCCCGAAACGGCGGGTGAAAAACAAAGTGAATGTCGCATGGATTTTTGGTTCATCCGCATTCCTTGCCAACACCAAATCCGCACGAAATGCACCTCGAAAGCAGGAGCGCAATGATCCAGGACATTCTGGGCCCATCCTATTTTTCCGAACGAGATCCGCTCTGCGATGTCGGCGTCATGACAAATCGCCAAAGTGCACGACAGCCATGCGCATGCAGCGCCTCAGGCGACCCGCTAAAGGGTGGTAAGCACGGTGCGGCGAAACATTGGGCCCACACACTGGATGCCTTGGTTTGCTCAAAACGGCCCCCCCGAAGTCCCGATGGTTTTTCCCGTGGCGGGTGATGTTCCCCGATCGTTTCTTGGACCGCCCCGGGGCCCAACGAGGGCCCCCAGGGAGAAAAAGGCCACACGAATGGAATTAAGTCGGGCATGTCTTCCTGCACGCGGGCTTGCGAGGACAAAATTACGAATCCAAAAAAAGAGTCAAACATTGTATCAAATTATTAAAAAGAATCACCATACTATCTTTCGACAATTTTTGGATACTCCTCCTGTAGGGCAATGTGCCCGAATTACGACTGGAACTTGCGCTCGCGCGCTGCCTCGCTGCCTCGGCACGACCGCGATGAGCTTCACGCGCTGAACGGCTATTGCCCTTCCCCCGCCTTCCCCCTCCCCGCGCCCCTTCGTGCCCAGCCGGCCCCCGGCGAATCCCGCCCGCTGCCCGCTCGCTCGCGCGCCCGCCGACGGAAAAAGATGCCACGGTGGGGGCGTTGAAAAAGGAAGCGTTGGATAATAACCCAGGGTCTGGAAGCCAATGGAACTCCAATCGCGGATTGGCAATGGTTATTACCGCCGCCCTCATCTGATAACCGCGCGCCCCAGATAGTAATCCCCGGGAGATAATAAGTTCGGGGGTCTGGCGGGGAAAATCAACTATTTCCCCAGGGAAGGTGATGTTATGATGATGATGACGACGACGATGATGATGATCCTGGGCGTTTGCGTAGACTGACCTTGTAGATCTCGGCACAAGACTGACCCGAGAGATCTCGAGGCTCGTGGCTACAATTTGCCTGCACAAAATAGGTCCTTGGCGCTTCTGGCCAAGCAACCTCTCTTCCGCACGACCTCGAACCACTCGCCCATGCAGGCTCGGCATCCTTTGGAGCCGCCCTTGCACGGGAGGCATTTGGTGCAGGCCTGGGCGGCACCGCTTGCCTCCTCGAAGGTTGCGCGTTTCGGTTCGACCGCCGTGGATTCCTTGAAGGGTTTGGATTTGGCCTTGCTCTTGGCCTTGGCCAATTCGTTGTCGCTGGCCTCTTTGAGCTTGTTGATCCACTCGTTGCCTCGGGCGCACATCGTGCTGATGCTCACGGGCACTTGGCGGCCCTCGCCTCTGATCTCGCGCAGAGCACGCTCGATCCAGCGAGTGGACTCGCAACTTCCCCTGGGGATTATCAAGGTCGGCCCCCGCGCCCTCTCCACAATTAAATCGCACTCACACGGGATGAGAACTTCTGAAGGGGGGACAAAGGGGAATGATTTATCATCCGGGGGACAGAGTTAAGGAAACCTCTTGGGTCTGAAGCCCCCCGCACACATTCCTGAACCTACGCCCCCACCGTAACGGGTGCGCTCTGGCACCGATCGATCGGCCCCTCCTCGGTCCTCCCTGGGGCGCGCGGGGTCGGCTTCCGCGGCCCAGCACGGCCAGGGCTGCACGTGCGCCGATCCCCGGCCAGGGGTGCACGGGGGAAAGACGGCGGGGAACCAGCTCTGTCAGGAGGGGAATGAGGGGCCTGTTTTCCACCACCACCACCACAAGCTGGAGGGGGGAAGGGGGTGGAGGACGAGGAGGAGGAGGACGAGGAGGAGAAGGAAAAGGAGGAGGAGGAGGTGGAGGTGGAGGAGGACCCCCTCCCCCTCCAACTGATGGTGGTGGTGGTGGTGGTGGGAAACATGCCCATCAAGGGAACATCGAGCTGGAATCGGCGATGCATCGCCGCTAGAGCGGCGCCATGCCTGGATGGCGAACCCGCGCGTGCCTGGACGGGGAAGGGCGATCGGCCCCCCCTCCCCTCGGCGATCAGTAGGCGAGCGGGGGTCGATGCACCCCCCCGCTGAGGCCGTTCCCAACTGACGTTGCCCCTGGGTCAAGGACCAACGCACTACGCATACACAGATGACCCTGTGAGCAACGAGAGGGAGGGGAAAACGTCATGTCTGTCGGTCCGGACCCCCGCCTCTGCAGCAATTGCAGCCGGGCAACAAGATTGGACCTAACTGGGACATATACGGGAGTGTTCATAGTAGGAGTGCGTCCGAACAGCCCCCCAGGGTTGTATCCCCAAGTTCCAACTCTTTCTAAACGACAAGTTGTTTTGGAGGACGCTCGGCGACTGGGTAGGAATCAACTTCTGGACGGCTTTCGCAAGAACGATTGAGGGCGGTTCAGCCCGACTTAAAACAAGGGCGGATTAAACAGAATATCTATCCAGACTAAGTGGGACTAGGCGGAACTACGCGGGATGATTCCCTATGTCGACCACGAACATACCAACACCGATGCCGAAAAAAAAACCCACGAACTGCAACCTCGACCAGGGACGAGAAACTGCCAGCGACGAAACGCGCAGTCAAACTTCCGATGCTTTGATTTTCTCAATGCAGGCCCCTCGGGACTCCCAGCCCTTTCCAAAGGATCCGTTTTCCATCCCGAGTCGCTTTCTGCCAGCCTTCCGACGCCGCAAACACTGACGGAAGAAGACCACTTACTCAGACCTTGCAGGGAGGAGTTTGAGGCAGGGAATACGTCGACCCCCCTCCCAGGCTCCGTGGGGTTTGTGAGTGGACAAGAAATTTGTGGCCCAACCCAGGGATAACTATTAGGACAGGGAGGCGCCCATCCTCGACAGGGGTGCGTCCGATTAGCCCCCCGCCTGGGGCGTACTCCCGAACCCCCCCTCCTTGTCTGAGCGGCCTGCTTCTTCGTGGAAAGGTCGGGGGGGGGGGGGGGCGTGAAATCGACTGGGAGTTTGGAACGACGTGGTGATGAAGGCGCTGTGGGTACGGGTGCGGGCTGTCGGGCCCCGAGGGGGGCTCCCGCTCGAGTTGGGAACCCCGTCTGTCGGGGGCGCGCAAACATGGATTAGCGATCCATGGATTTGGCGCGCGGTCGCCAAATCCATGCATCGGGGGTGGTGCCCTCCCCAAAAGGCGGCCGGTGCCGTCGGCGGCGGAAATCAGAGACTTCCCATGGAAACGGGACCCGTCGCTAATCCACGCCCCCTTGATCCATGTTTGCGATCGCCTGAGCCTGACAGCAGAACCCCCTAACCGCCCCTCCGAATCCCCTCCACAGGACTCTGGGCGTCGCACAGGCATGGGAGGTGCCACCGTCGGACCTGGGCCAGAACAGCACTCCTCCGAGAACAGGATGCCCTCCGTCGGCCAGAACAAACATCTTATCCAAGGGTACCCGCCCCAGGATGCACAGGAGCATCCAACAAACACGAAGAGAACGAGGGTATTTGGGCGCCCGAATTATCCGGGGTAACTCGGGTCCAGGGTAACTCGGGCTTGGAAGCCCGAAAAAGGAACCCGAGTTAACCCTGACCCGAGTCACCCCTGATGATTCGGGGCTCTGAAGTATCCTCCTCGAACCGAACTCGATCGCGGTCCGCCGCCGAGCTTGGGTTTTGGGTCGCGAACCGAGGGCATCCTCCTCGAACCGAACTCGAGGAGGAGGAGGAGGAGCAGGAGGAGGAGCAGGAGCAGCATCCTCCTCGAAGCGAACTCGACCGCGGTCCGCCGCCGAGCTTGGCTCTTGGGGCCACAACTCGCGCCTGCGGCGGCCCCTTGGGGCCGATCCCGGCACCCCGCGGCACGCCACGCGCTCGGCGAGGCGCGGCTGCTGGCAGGCATCCCCGAGGCTGGAACTCCGCCAGGAACCGACGAGCACCGAACACCTCGAACCTCGAGCCCAACCCTCAAACTAGAGGCCTCCGAGATTGACTACCTACCAGACCACCCCAACCCAACCCGAAGACCCGAATTTCGGGTTGGGGGGGGGTATGGGCTCCATATGTATGTTTTCGATGTTCCCGGACCCCCCCCCACTGGAAATGGAGGGCAAATTGAGGCCTTCGGGTTGGGTTGGGATGGTTTGGTGGGTGGTGATAGATGGGGTCCGAGTAGATGGGGTCGAAGGATTGACCGCATCGTCAATGCATCGCCGATGCATCGGCGATGCGTCGGTGACACCGACAGTGCATTGGCGACGTCGGCGTGGGAAACACGGTCTCCACATCGGGCCGCATCGTCGATGCATCGGCGATGCATCGGCGATGCGGCGCGACCCTCCGACCCCATCTGCTCGGACCCCGTCTAGGAGGCCTAGACAAACCTCGAATCTCGAACCTACCTCATGAGGCCTGTCTGGATGTGGCCCGCGGCCCGGGGTTCGCCCGCAGCCCTGGCGGGCCTCAAGGGCGCCGTCGGTGGCGGCCCGCAGCGGGGCCGGCGGGCTGGGTCCCGCGGGCGAGGCCGTCCCGTCGGCCCGGGGCGTAGCGTCGGCGCTCTCGTCCAGGCACTCGGGGACGGTGGCGAGGACGGCGCGGACGGGGCGGTGCCTGGATTCACATCCAGACCCCCTCGAGTCAGTAGTCTTTTGGTATTTTCGACCTCTCGGGGCCCCCCACTGGGCCTCGGGACCGTCAAAAAAAACGACTCAGGATGAGAAACCGAGCCCAGGGGGAGGGGTCGAGCCCTCTGGGGGTCGACGTCATGAACAAAAACCATGCCGTCGGGGGTCTGGTCAAGGTCAACGTTTCCTTATACGGCGTTTCGGCATTGGACGGAAGGGGGGGGGGGGGCGATCCGGCTCCGAACCTTTGCTTATTGCGACTACTTGCAACAGCGCGCCCTATGGGGGACACTCCACCTGCTTGAACCCAGCGCCAGAAACAACGAAGATCTAATCCAGGGGGAAGGGGGGGGGGCTCGCCATCGCTCGGACGTCTTTTTTTCCCAACCATCCTGTGGTGTTAGGTCCTCGTTTTGAAGAGACAGCACCCCGCGTCCCACCTCCTCTCCTCCTCCTCCTCCCCTTCCTCGCCCTCCTCCCTCCTCCCCCTCCTTGCCTCTGCTCTCGGCACACCCCTCACACGTTTCGTAGCCCCATAGGGAGCTCCACCCAAGGTCCCAGTGGCACAGCCCGCACGCGGTTCCCCCACCCAGGGCAGCGTTTCGTAGCCCCATAGGGAGCTCCACCGAAGGTCCCAGTGGCACAGCCCGCATGCGGTTCCCCCACCCAGGGCAGCGTTTCGTAGCCCCATAGGGAGCTCCACCGAAGTTCCCAGTGGCACAGCCCGCATGGGGTTCCCCCACCCAGGGCAGCGTTCGTAGCCCCATAGGGAGCTCCACCGAAGGTCCCAGTGGCACAGCCCGCATGCGGTTCCCCCACCCAGGGCAGCGTTTCGTAGCCCCATAGGGAGCTCCACCGAAGGTCCCAGTGGCACAGCCCGCATGCGGTTCCCCCACCCAGGGCAGCGTTTCGTGGCCCCATAGGGAGCTCCACCGAAGGTCCCAGTGGCACAGCCCGCATGCGGTTCCCCCACCCAGGGCAGCGTTCGTAGCCCCATAGGGAGCTCCACCGAAGGTCCCAGTGGCACAGCCCGCATGCGGTTCCCCTACCCAGGGCAGCGCTTCGTGGCCCCATAGGGAGCTCCACCGAAGGTCCCAGTGGCACAGCCCGCATGCGGTTCCCCCGCCCAGGGCAGCGTTTCGTACCCCCATAGGGAGCTCCACCGAAGGTTCCAGTGGCACAGCCCGCATGCGGTTCCCCCTGGCCCCATAGGGAGCTCCACCGAAGGTCCCAGTGGCACAGCCCGCATGCGGTTCCCCCACCCAGGGCAGCGTCTCGTAGCCCCATAGGGAGCTCCACCGAAGGTCCCAGTGGCACAGCCCGCATGCGGTTCCCCCTGGCCCCATAGGGAGCTCCACCGAAGGTCCCAGTGGCACAGCCCGCATGCGGTTCCCCCACCCAGGGCAGCGTTCGTAGCCCCATAGGGAGCTCCACCGAAGGTCCCAGTGGCACAGCCCGCATGCGGTTCCCTCACCCAGGGCTGCGTTTCGTGGCCCCATAGGGAGCTCCACCGAAGTCCCAGTGGCGCAGTTCGCATGCGTTCCCCCCCCACCCAGGGCAGCGTTTCGTGGCCCCCTCCACCGAAGGTCCCAGTGGCGCAGTTCGCATGCGTCCCCCCCACCCAGTACAGCGTTTCGTGGCCCCATACGGGGCTCCCCCGAATGCGATACCCACAACTGCACATGGTTGGGTCCTTCGCCAGGCTAATTTTTCGGTTTCGTGCGTGGCTTTTTCGCCAAATGATCAAAGATGCTCCTCGATGGTCCTCGCCGAGAAAACACGCACACGTCCGAGCGATGCCCACGGAAGGGGGGGGGGGGCGAGGGCCCGCGCCCATCGGCAAAGCAGTGAGCCAGAGCACGAGGACCTCCGCCGTCGTGCGCGCTCCGATCCCGACGCTTCTCCTCGACACCTCGGCCTCCGGGGCCACCGCCCGTGGGGCCCCATGGAGATCACCGCGCACGGACCCGGGAGGCGAACCCGGCCCTTGCCATCGCTCGGGGGCGTCCATTCCCTGTGCATGTTTTGTGGCTTCGTGCGTGCTTGTTTTGCGCGATGGTCCAGGATGCTCCTCCAGGGTCCTCGCCGAGAAGAAAATGCACACGTCCGAGCGGTGCCAGGGGCCCCCGTGGGGGAGGGGTCGGGAGCCCTGGGCCCCCACTCGCTCACAAGCCATGCGCCGTCCGGCGCGTGGCCAGGAGCAGTCTCAAGCAGCGGCGCGACATGGAGGAGGACACGCCGCGCCGGCACAGTGGATCAAGAGGAGGAGGAGGGGGAGGAGGAGGAGGAGGAGGAGGAGGAGGAGGAGGAGGAGGAGGAGGAGGAGGAGGAGGAGGAGGAGGAGGAGGAGGAGAAGGGGGGGCGAGGAAAACACATGCAGATGCATGTCGGAGGATGTCTGCGGCAGGCGAGCAGAAACCATGGCACAGGGACAAATTCTCGGCGGCCTGCGCGCAGTTCCCGGAGCTGCCCAGGGTTTCCCTCCTCCAGCGCGCGGAGAGCCCGTCGTGCCATGGACCGTGGACGGCGCCCGCGGCGCGGACGGAGGCGCCTGCGCCCACGGTTTCGCGATACCCTCTTCGATGGCCGAAGAAGCAACTCGGAGGTCCCCGTGGGAACGATTAAGGGCTACGAAGGAAGGAGCGACTACCCATCGGCCGGAAGAAGTAGGCAGAAGTATGAAGCAGGAAGGCGCTGAAAGTACATTGGGTCCCCCCCCCGCCCCCTGAGGAGGAGGGAAGAGGTGAAGCCACTCGATCCTTGAAGTAGGAAGGCGGACTCCAAAAATACCTACTGCCACGACCAATGGGAAAGGGCCACGAAGCCAGGAGCGGGACAAACTCGGTTCGGAATAACTCAGAGATCCCTGAGATCGGGCGGCTCTGGTGGGTGTATCGGCCGCCGCGGCTGTGCCAGGGCTTTTCTGCAACGCCCCCAAGACGCGCTCCAGAATGCTCCGGAGCGATTTAGCCCGTTCCTGGGCTTGCCAGGTTCAGCCCAGTCTGGCGGCGCGCACACAGGGGTAGGGGTTAGGTCGGGCATGTCCTCCTACAGGCGGATTTGCGACGAAAGCATTCAATAGGCCAAAAATACACCAGAATACTCCAAAACAATAGAATTACTCACTGCGTGGAGCTCCCCATATGTGCATCTCATGTTTTATGTCATGCCGTGATGAGCGTCTGTTCATGAGCGGTCGACTACAATAGCGCGTCCACGTGGGCGACAGGGCCGACGAAAACGAGTGACCCCTAATGCGAGTGATTGCGTATGAGTCAGAGTGAGCTTTGAGTATGGTTGAATGCGAGCATCTTGAATGCTCTCCAAGCGAAGGATGTTAACCGCCTGAGACATCCCCACAAAATGGCCGCGAACGAGCCCGTGCAACCACCCCTGGCGGCTCCCCTTAGGGGTGCTGAAACCAGCGCCCCGCCTGAGACATCCTCACAATCTGCTCTCCAAGCGAAGGATGTTGAGCCCGGAAACAGGCAAACCGCCTGAGACATCCCCACAAAATGGCCGCGAACGAGCCCGTGCAACCACCCCTGGCGGCTCCCCTTAGGGGTGCTGAAACCAGCGCCCCGCCTGAGACATCCTCACAATCTGCTCTCCAAGCGAAGGATGTTGAGCCCAGAAACAAGCAAACCGCCTGAGACATCCCCACAAAATGGCCGCGAACGAGCCCGTGCAACCACCCCTGGCGGCTCCCCTTAGGGGTGCTGAAACCAGCGCCCCGCCTGAGACATCCTCACAATCTGCTCTCCAAGCGAAGGATGTTGAGCCCAGAAACAGGCAAACCGCCTGAGACATCCCCACAAAATGGCCGCGAACGAGCCCGTGCAACCACCCCTGGCGGCTCCCCTTAGGGGTGCTGAAACCAGCGCCCCGCCTGAGACATCCTCACAATCTGCTCTCCAAGCGAAGGATGTTGAGCCCAGAAACAAGCAAACCGCCTGAGACATCCCCACAAAATGGCCGCGAACGAGCCCGTGCAACCACCCCTGGCGGCTCCCCTTAGGGGTGCTGAAACCAGCGCCCCGCCTGAGACATCCTCACAATCTGCTCTCCAAGCGAAGGATGTTGAGCCCAGAAACAAGCAAACCGCCTGAGACATCCCCACAAAATGGCCGCGAACGAGCCCGTGCAACCACCCCTGGCGGCTCCCCTTAGGGGTGCTGAAACCAGCGCCCCGCCTGAGACATCCTCACAATCTGCTCTCCAAGCGAAGGATGTTGAGCCCAGAAACAAGCAAACCGCCTGAGACATCCCCACAAAATGGCCGCGAACGAGCCCGTGCAACCACCCCTGGCGGCTCCCCTTAGGGGTGCTGAAACCAGCGCCCCGCTTGAGACATCCTCCAAATCTGATGTGTGTTGAGTAAGTCTGAGTATGAATAGGTCTGAGTATGAGTATGCCTGAGTATAAGTAAGTCTGTGTATGAGTAAGTCTGGGTATGAGTAGGTCTGTGTATGAGAAAGTCTGTGTATGTGTACGTCTGGGTATGAGTAAGTCTGAGTATGACTAATACTGTGTATGAGTAAGTCTGGGTATGAGAGAGTCTGTGTATGAGTACGTCTGGGTGTGAGTAAGTCTGTGTATGAGTAAGTCTGTGTATGAGTATGTCTGAGTGTGAGTAAGTCTGAGTATGACTAGGTCTGAGTATGAGTAAGTCTGAGTATGAGTAAGTCTGTGTATGAGTAAGTCTGAGTATGAGCAAGTCTGAGTATGAGTAAGTCCGACAGGAGGGGAGGAGGAAAGAGGAGGAGGGAGAAGGAGAGGGAGTAGGAGGCGTCCAAGTAATAACAAGAACCCCATCTTAGGATATGGGGAAAAATCGTAAACTGACGATTTATGGACTACTTTTACTCTTCCTCCTGTAGAGGGACGCCCGACTTAAAAGGGTAGGGGGACGGGGGAACGCCTCTTGGAAGGCGGCTGCTTCTTGGAAGGCGCCAGCCCTACATCTACACTCGGGCTGGGCGAAAGGGGGGGATAGCAAAGGGGGGATTCGAGAGTCAGCTCACGTAGCTGATTTTCCCGGCGCCTCCCGGCGCCAGAGGCGGCCATGGACCGAGGAATGGGCCCCTCGGTGGGGCCGAAACCAGCTACATGCAGCAAGTTTCGTACCCCCCCTTTCCCTATTCCCCCCCCCCTTCGCCCGGCCCGATGTACAGACAGGGCCCGCGCCTCCTGAGAAGCAGGGGTGCTCCCAGGAGGCCTTCCCCCCCCATCCCCCCGACGGCGGGCCGTGCTTCTGAGAACTTCTGTCCACAGCCGCTGCCGCCCTGGAGTCTGGGGCTCCCGTCCCCAGAGGCCCGAGGCGGGGGCGCCTGCAAGCACGGATCAGCGATCCATGGACTTGGCGCGCGGTCGCCAAATCCATGCATCGGGGGAGGTGCCCTCCCCAACAGGCGGCCGGTGCCGCCTCGCTCGGCGGCGGAAATATCCGCGATCTCCCGTGGAAGCGGGACCCGTCGCTGATCCACGCCCCCTTAATCCATGTTTGCGATCGCCTGACCGTTGCGCGCCGGAGATCCAGGAAACATCTGCCCCCTTGGAGGCTCGGTCTTTACCCATACTCGGGAGCGGCCAAGAGGGGGGTGTCCAAGAGGGGGGGTGCAAATCATGGCCGGCGGCATGTGCGCGGCCCAGCGGGGGGGCCAGGGACGTAATGAAATAAGAAGAGGCGCCATGAAATCTGGGGAAATATCATGACCCCCGCCATGATATCCACCCCCCCCAGGCATCACCCCCCTCTTTTCCGCCCCCGACATACCCAGTGCGCCTTGGCCTGGCGGCGCCCTTTTCAAGAAAGGCCGAGGCGCGCTGAACACAGCAGGGGCCCGCCCACAAGAAGCCGTGCACAAGGAGCCCAACCCTACGACCCCAGGGCGTTCATCGATATTTGGCGCGGGGACGTCACGCTTTCCATCGCAAAACCATCGAAACCCAAGAAACCAAATTGGCACCCTGGAGGCAAGCAGGGTGTTTCTTGGCATGGGCCTACGCTGTAATGGGGGGGTGCCTGCAGGGGGGTGAAGAGAATGGCCCTAAAAGGCCCCTCTACGGGACGCACGAGGACACACTGGTACTATGCGTCCTCCTGTGGCGTGCGTCCGACCCGAACGTATGGCGCACACGGGGCGCTCAAGGACGTACTAGTACTCTGTCCTCTCTGGAGGCGTGCGTCCGACCCGAACACATCGTAGACCCCTCTTGTGGTACATCGCTGCCCGAGCGGTGTGGTGTGGCCAGAGAGCGCCCGCCACGACGCATGTACTGTAACTCCTCTGCGCATGGCTGACGGGAATGAGGAGCCATCAGGCCGGCTCTGCTTGAGGCCCAGGGGGGTTGCGCCGGACTCGGGGCTCTCCTGACCCGGGTCAGTCCAGACCCGAGCCAGTCAGGCCTCACAGAATCTTGCAGGATCCTTCATGCACCCGAGCCCGGGTCAGTGCGAGGGAGCCTGCAAGATCCCGCACCCAGGCCCGGCTCGATGCGACCCTGGCCCTGCAGGATCCTGGAGGATCGGGCGCTCTGGCTGACTCCTGTTTGCGCTGACTCCTGTTTGCGCTGACTCCCGTTTGCGCTGGAGGAGGAGGGGGAGGAGGAGGAGGAGGAGGAGGAGGAGGAGGAGGAGGAGGAGGAGGAGGAGGAGGAGGAGGAGGAGGAGGAGGAGGAGGAGGAGGAGGAGGAGGAGGAGGAGGAGGAGGAGGAGGATGTGGAGCGGGAGCCAGCCACGCGGCGCCCAGGCCTCCGACGAGGCACCGAGGAGGCAGCACCCAAGGGCTTTTGCTGCTGCAGTCGACGCGTATCGTGAGGGCGCGGGGAGGGTGCAGCCCTTGGCGCGCCTGGCACGCGTGGCGCACCTCGCCCCAGCGTCGCGCACCTGAGACGCCTGCTGAATATGCTGAGACTCGGGTACTACTTACGTCTGCGTTGGAGGGGCGGGTGGGAGTGCGCCGAACAGTTTGCGTCTGGGGAGCTTGGACAGCGAGAGTTGCTGAGGATGGGCCGAAGGGGCAAGGATGCAAGGGGACCCCTGGGAGGGCAGCCCATCCTCCCACTCTGGGTCGACTGTGCTCTCGGCACACTGGGGGTGCTTACAGGGTCCGTGGCAACGTGAACCAAACCGCTCGAGATGAAAGGCCAGCCCTAGGGAAAGGGTAGGTACCTCTAGGAACGGAGAATCGAGAAGAGCGGTTGGGGGAGGAGTTTGCTGCAAGAGACTGCTGCCTGCGAAACTCCAACACCTAGACCCTAGGCCTAGGTGTACCACATAGGGTGGACCGTCGAGACAGAGCAATAATGTGAAGGAGGAGGTGCACCAGCAGTGCTGCAAACACTCTCCCGTCCCACGTCCCCTCATCATACGTCCCTACATGATTTCATCGCCACTACAAAACAACCCTCGTGAAAAAACAATGCCATATGTCCCTGCAATTTTGACGAAGGCCCCGCGTTGAGAAAGACCCGCCTTGCATTCTTATGGCGCGCAATCAGAACTGTTCACCATGGCCGTACAATTCAACGAGATTTCCAACAAGATCACCCGTTCGAGAACTGATATCGCCCCCCGATCCATGCAATTGCTGTGTCGTTGTCATGGTACGCGAGCAGCGCTCGATCCGTGCAGTGCTACATGTGTTGCAGCTTCGAGTTCTGTATAATTCAGGACGTCGCAAGCAAGATCCCCATGTTGAGCAAAAAACGACATTCGTCCTCCTAACTGCTGCAATGGGTTAAGCGAATGTGCGCGGCGTTGCGGGCGAGAACTCCGTTTTGAAAACGACGCCGCCCCCCCCCCATCCATGCCTGAAACCGTTACAAGATATGAAACGATATGCGCGGCGCTGCGGCGACAGCTCCGTTTTGAAAACGGCACGGCCACCAACCTGAAAGGTGCTGCATTCTTGTCAGACGAATGTGCGTGGAGCCAAGTCGAGGGCCCCATTGGGACCCCCCGAGGAGGAGGAGGAGGAGGAGGAGGAGGAGGAGGAGGAGGAGGAGGAGGAGGAGGAGGAGGAGGGAGGAGGAGGAGGAGGAGGATGGGGAGGGGGAGGGGGAGGGGAGGGGGAGGGGAGGAGGAGGAGGAGGAGGAGGAGGAGGAGGAGGAGGAGGAGGAGGAGGAGGAGGAGGAGGAGGAGGAGGAGGAGGAGGAGGAGGGGGGGAGGGAGGAGGAGGAGGAGGAGGAGGAGGAGGAGGAGGAGGAGGAGGAGGAGGAGGAGGAGAAACGGCCCGCCCTCCATCCATGAAGCTGTTGCAAACGGATGAGACGAGTGTACGCGGCGACAAAGGGAGAGCCCAATGTTCAAAATCCCCCCCCCCCTTTCTGTCCCTGAAACTGGTGCAGATTTGCACCTGCAAATGGGGGCGAGGACAGGAAGAGAGCCCTACTTTGGAAACCACCCGCCCTTCCGTCCTTGAAGATGTTGTGATTTTTCATGCTTTGAAATCAGAAGCTGGAGGGACATCTAAACTTTCAAGCAAAACGCCCGGCTAGCCCTACCAACGCGTCTGGGGGTGTGGCACGGACGAGCGAATTACAAGGAGGAAGCGAAACGGAAGAGGAGGAGGAGGGAGGAGAAAGGAGAAGGGGAGGAGGAGGAGGAGGAGGAGGAGGAGGAGGAGAGGAGGAGGAGGAGGAGGAGGGGTGGATGAGAAGGAGGAGGGGGATGAGGAGGAGAACGAGGAGGGAGGAGAAGACCGAGGAGGAGGGGAGAGGAGAGGGAGAGGGAAAGATGACGAGGAGAAGGGAGGAAGAGGAGGAGGAGGAGGAGGAGACCGAGGAGACCGAGGATGAGAACAGAGGAGGAGGTGGAGGTGGAGGGAGGAGAAAGGGGGAGGAGAAAGGGAGGAGGAGGAGAACGAGGAGGAGAGGGGAGGAAAACGAGGAGGAGAGGAGGAGGAGGGAGGAGGAGGAGGAGGAGGAGGAGGAGGAGGAGGACGAGGGGGGAGAGCGACGAGGCCAACGAGGAGCAGGAGCGGGCGGTGCCGGTGCCGCTTCGCGGGCGCGAGCGCACGGATCGCGGCGTCGAAGCTGTCCTCGTCCGCCAGCGCCCCGTCCTCCGCCGCCTCGGGTCGGCCGCCGGGGGAGGGGGGGGGGGGGGGGAGGCGGAGCGGCTGGGGCCAGAAGGGCAAGGCAGGGAGGCAGCGGGGGGCTGGAGGGAGGGGGGAGGGAGGGAGGGGGGTGGAGGGAGGGGGGGGGAGGGGGGAGGGGGGGGGAGGGAGGGGGGCTGGCGGCGCGCACAGGGGGGTGGAGGGAGGGGGGAGGGCTTCCTAGAAGCGCCCCTGCTCCTTAGAAGGCGCCGGCCTCAATTCTTCTTCTTCTGCCTCAGGCTCCTCGTCCTCCTCCACCTCCTTCCGGGCGATCGCAAGCATGGATTGAGGGGCAGGGCAGGGATTGGCGGCGCGCACAGGGGGGTGGAGGGAGGGGGGGGGCTTCCTAGAAGGAGGCTGCTCCTCAGAAGGCGCCGGCCCTACATCTATATAGACAAGGCCAGCGCCTTCCAAGAAGCAGGGGCGCTTCTAAGAAGCCCTCCCCCCTCCCCCCACCCCCCTCTGCGCGTGGCTGAAGGGAGGCGGGGGGGGCTGGAGGGGGGAGGGGGTCCTCCTCCCCAATTCTTCTTCTGCCTCAAGCTCCTCGTCCCCCCCTCCACCTCCTTCCGGGCGATCGCAAGCACGGATTGAGGGGGCGTGGATCAGCGACGGGTCCCGTTTCCACGGGAAATCGCGGATTTCCGCCGCCGAGCGAGGCGGCACCGGCCGCACTGTCGGGAGGGCACCTGTCATAAAGCGACGAAGTATCCGGGAACGAGACGGCGACTACAGAAGCGAGGACGAGCGTGATGAATCACCAACACTCACAAGAAACCCAACAAATGTGGCATCACTTGGGAACGCCGGATACCGGAGGATTGCTTGCGGCGAGCCAGTCCAGGCACGGGGCCCCGAAAGAGGAGGGGGAGGGGGGAGGACCGGTGTGAGGCCAAGACGCATCAACGATGTTGATTTGGATCCTTCCTCCAAGCTCCCTCTTCATAAGCCCCTACCATAATGTATGTTCATAACTAGAGCTGGCCCATTACAAGACAACTGTCTGAGAATCCGCCAACCCCGGGGTCACGGCGTGTGACATGCTTCCCCCTCCCCAAACCCCCCCCGGGAGCCCGGTCCGGCCGGTTTGGAGGGGTGGGGGGGTTGGGGCAAAGGTGCCGGCCGCACCCTTGGAGCCTCAGGGGCCCCGAAACGGGCCAAGAGGGCCCCCCAAAGGCCGAGGGCTACGAGTCGCCGAAAGATCGCTTGAAGACGCCCAAGATTGCCTCCAGACGGTCCAGAAGCTCCCAAGACGCCCCAAGAAGCCACCAAGAGGCGTCCCAAGAGGCCCTCCAGGAGCAAAATTCGGCCCACTCCCTGGGGAAAACGTATATGTTTAGCAAATTCGCCTCTTGGGCTTTCACGAGGCCCACCACGGCCCAAGAAGCCTGTCAGGTCGACCCAAGATAGCCCAAGATGCCCTCAAGAGGGCTCCGAGACGGCCCAAGAGGGCCCCAAGACGGCCCCAGAAGCTTCCAAAACGACCCAGGAAGGCCCCAGGACGGCCCTAAGATGAGGCCCAGAGGGGGAACCCGAATGAACATGTCGAGCACTCGGCCCCGAAAAAACCTGAGGAGGCGCCAATAGGCCCCGAAGGGGCTCCCACGAGGCCCCCGAGAGGCCCAAAAGAGGCTCCGAGAGGCCTCAAAACGGCTTCCAAGAGGCCTCAAAAAGGCTGCCAGAGTGGCCCAGAGAAGCCCAAAAGCAGAGCCGCAATCCGCCAACCGCCCCCGTCGAAATCCCGAGAAATTGAAACCCCAAGATTCCCCAGAAATCGCGCGCGTTCCGCAAACTCCGTTTTTCACTCTTACTGCCGCCCCAAGGGATCGGCGGTGCGGCGTCAGCCAATGAATCTTGCATCGTGCCAAAATCAACGTGAATGTTGCGTCCTGACGGTGCGAAATCTGCCAGAACAACAATCCTGCGACTTCAACACCGCAAAATCAACACGACCGTTGCGTTCGGACAGCCCTAAACCGTGCCAGAACATCATTCCTAGGACTTCGACCATGAGAACCCTTGAAACTTCTGCGAACGTTTACTCACATGCGCGCGGCGCTAAGGCGAGAGTCACATTTGGCAAAGGAACCGCCCTCCATCATCGAGGATGTTGCAAACTTTTATGAAAAATGTTCGCGGCGCTGAAGCGAGAACCCACATGTTGAAAATGACCCGCCCTCAATCTGTGAAGCTGTTGCAAATGTTTGATGCGAACGTGCACGACACTAACACGAGAACCACATGTTGAATACACCCGCCCTGCATCTACAAAACTGGTGCAAACTGTAGGACGGATGTGCCGTGAATGTGCTGCAATGTTTTAAGCCCCGAGAGCCACATTTAGAAAACAACCCGCTCTCCATCCATGAAGCTGCTGCAATCGTCAACTTTCGGAAATCATGAATGGCGTAGAAATCTCAGGCGAAACGCCCGGCCCGCCCTACCGACACGTCTTTGCGTTCGACAGGTTGAGGTTCTCCAAAGAGATGGAGGATGGGGAGGGAGAGGGGAGGAGGCAGGAGGAGGGCGAACGTGAGACGAGAGGGTGGAAAGAGGAGCGAGAGGAGATGGGGACGGAGAGGAGAGGGAGGGGAGGAGTGGGGAAGGGAGGAGGGATGAGGTGGAGGAAGATGCGGATGGGGAGGCCGTCGCGTCCGACGGCCGGCCAACCCTGGGAAGTGGAGCCAAGCCTAGGGAGGTGAAGACCCCAGTTATGTTGCATCCTCGAGGAACCTTGTCTGTCCCGTCACGGCCCTATGCGCGCCGAATCCGTGTCGAATCTATATCGGCCTCGTTGGATCTGTGTCGAATCCGTGTCGAACCCGCGTCGAAGCCACGCCAAAACCGCGTAGAGTCCACATCGAGCCCGCGTCGGGCACAAGAACAGACACACATTTTGGGGACAGGCGAGGTCCCCCGAAGATGCAACGTAACCCTGGAAGAGTAAAGGGAGGGGGGAGCGGGAAAGAACTGCACCTCTGTTTGGTTGCCAACCGCTGCTGGTACCGCCCCCCGCCGCCTGCCCCCTGGTAACCTCACGATCCGCACTGGCGCCGTCTAGGAATGGCCATGGGCACGAAATGCCCAGACAACGACGGCGCAAACCGTGACGATCCTGGCCCCCCCTTCCCCGCAGGAGCAACGCCAATTGAAGGTCAACCAACACAGGCTCAAGGAGGGAAGGGGGAGGCCGTGACTCCCGACGGCCAGCCAGTCCGAGAAGCGGAGATCCCTCGGAGAGTCAAACGAGGGGGAGGTATGAGGGAGGAGGCGGAGAGGAGACGGGGGGTGGGGGGGATGAGGGAAACGAGGGAGGGGGAAGGAGCAAACATTATGAAGAGGGGAAGGCGAGAGGGATGAGGAGTGGGAGGAGGAGGAGGAGGAGGAGGAGGAGGAGGAGGAGGAGCAGGAGGAGGAGGAGGAGGAGGAGCAGGAGGAGGCGGAGGAAGAGGAGGAGGAGGCGGAGGAGGAGGAGGAGGCGGAGGAGGAGGAGGAGGAGGCGGAGGAGGAGGAGGGCCGCTACACATACAACCCAGCTCGAGAGGCCCGGGGGCCTGGACCCGAACTCTCGAGCGACGCACGGACGTAGTCGTATCCGCGCCCTCGCGGTCTGGATTTGCGGGGCGCGATCCCGCGCGGGGCATCCGCGGAGACACGCCCCGTATAGTATCGGGGAGACGTAAGACCTGGGTACAGGGGACTCGGAAATCCCCGACGAGGTCGTCAAAAAAATGACGAAGCCGAACCTGCATTTTCACGAGGCCTCCCGCTGCAGACATCCCACGGAACTCCTCCTCGTCAAAATCCGAGGCGCGGTCGTCAAAAACGATGGCGAACCCGAGTCCTGGCAAATCCGGGTCTTACGCCCCCCCGATAGTAGGGGCCTGGCCACAAGAAACCTCCCACGAGAAGCACAACCCTGAGACCCCAGGGTGCCCATCGATCTTCTGGTGTGGGAGCGTCGCGTTCTCCCATCGCAGCGACCGGAGCCCAAGAAAACCAGGGCACCCTGGAGGCAGGCAGGGTGTTTCTTCGCAAGGGCCCCCGCTGTGCTCCGCGGGGTCGCGGCCCCAGGGCCCAGCCCGCGAGGCCCGCGGATACACACATGGCGGGCTCTGGAAATCCTGAGCCCCAAACTTGTTGCCATCTCTCGGGGCCCTTTGTTT